TACATCTGCACTATTATTATTATAAGAGTAAATATAAGATATTATCTTCAAAGTAATAATTGCCAATCTATACTTATATAAAGAGCCATTCCATTTATTAGAATTAGTAGAAAGAAAAGTCAAAGGTAATTAATGCATTCTATTTTCATCAATTAATTTTTATTTAATTGTTTTTTCCTATATAGATATTAACTAGTACAGAGCTCGTGCAATGCACGGGGTGCATAATTTTAAGGCTATTTATCCAGACTTATAATTATATACATGAATAAAGAAAAATGTACGGGATATATATAGTACGTGACCCGTGCGAAGCACGAGATATATTTATTGGGAGAATATTATATTATAAGATGCAATATTCAATAAAAGTTTATAATACGCAAAAAAATTGTACAATGTTCAAATACCCGTGCGAAGCACGAGATATATTTATTTGTTTTATGATTTGATAATATAAACAAATCTATAATTAACTTTGACAAATAAAACAAATAAATACTTTAGTAAGTATTTAATGTATATACTAAATAGGAATATATTTGGTATAATCAAATACAAAATATAATCAAATAAGTCAAAGTGTACATTTTTATTTGGTATTTGATTTTTTCATTATTAAAATCTTTTTATTATACTTACCTTTTTAAAATAAAACAAATAAATCAATTAAATAAATAAAATATTATAATACCAAAATAGTAATGGCATTTAATGCAGTTGACTTTTCTGGATAGTAAATGTAGTAAATAGAAATTCCTTTTATATAAGTATAGATTGTACTACCTCCTTTTTTAAATAGATGTCGTTTTGACTTTTTTGATTCATCCATTTTGCTACGTATCTAGACACATTTATGTCTAGATGTCTAGATACGTAGCAAAATGGATGAATCAAAAAAGTCAAAACGACATCTATTTAAAAAAGGAGGGAGTATAATACAGAAATAGTAATGCAATAAATGTTGTTGACTTTTCTTTATACTAAATCTGGTAAATGGTATACCTTTTAATATAAGTATAGATTTTCGTAAATCAATGCATCTAATATTTATAGTTTGTGTAGATTTAAAATTCATTCCTATCTTTGTACAAAAAATCTTATCTAATTGTATGAAAAATCTTCTGATTTGTTCCTCTACATATAATGTGATTTCCGTATACCAAAATTTTTTCTTAAAAATCTTAACAGATGTTGAATATTACTAGAATGTAGCGACATGCATGGTAATTAAAATTGTGCATTAAATAATATTTATAAATTAAAATAAGAATTAATATGCAAAACAATTTACATATATTAATTTTTTGAAAATGTTATATAAAATTTAAATTGTTCTTAAAATCCTATTCCTAGAATGAATATTACTCTTTCTGATCTTAGGGTTCCATTTAAGTTCCAGCGGCGGCAATTTTCACTTATGGTTTCGTATGCCATAACCATAAACAAGAGTCAGGGACAGTCTTTATCGCACGTTGGTTTTTTTTCTAAAGAAACATGTCTTTAGTCATGACCAATTATATGTTGTTGTTTCGCGTATAACTAATAGAAGAGGGTTGAAGATATTAGTTTGTGAGAATGAAGAGTTGCCCAATAATCAAACTCATAATGTTGTGTACAATGAGGTTTTTAATAATAAATGATTGTTTATTTGTCCAATACTATCTTATTGTATAATTTTCCTACGTATTATAAAATTTTTATTTAATATTGCATCTTATAATATAATATTCCCCAAATAAATATATCCCGTGCCTCGCACTGGTCACGTACTATATATATCCCGTGCATTTTTCTTTATTCATGTATATAAGAATTATAAGTCTGGATAAATAGCCTTAAACTTGTATACCCCGTGCATCGCACGGGCTCTACACTAGTATGACTTTGAAAGCTTCTCAGATCAGTCTGTGTGTACCTTATTTTTGGCCGGCCAGTTCTTTCTAGAAATGCATATTGATTTGATGTTGCATCCATTAACTATTTTCCATGCATTATTACATAGTATATTCAGATCAGTCTGCTTCTTTTATACTCAACTCTTTTTACTTTTTCATATTTGCTTTGCAAGTGAAAGGAAAAAAACTATATGCTTTTCAGATTTGCTTATCGAGAAGGTACAATATTTGCTGTAAATCCAAACTATCTGCTCTTAAGTTATACACATCTACAGAGATCATCTTCTACTCATTGGTTTATTTTTGGGTATTCGATGAGTCTGTTAGTTCAACTGTAAAAGTGAACTTAGGGTTTAGTTTTTATGTGCAAAGCACATTTTTTTCTGCTTCATAGTGTTGTCTAACAAAAGATTAATCTTTTTGTAAGCCTGTTTGTTAAGCTTTTCAAGTAGAAATTAATATATGTTGTTTCTGTGAACAGTACTGAGCCTCTATTGTTTTGTAGTGTTACCTCACATAAGAGTATAAGGCGTTCCGGTATTCATTTCAGTTTTGACAGAAAACAAAGTAAATGCACTTTTCAAAATTAGTTACCTAAAAAAAACATGTTTTTTTGTAAATTTGAAACNTAGAAACCATTTGCTTTTAACTGATGCAGAGTTACATAAATGATTTCTTTATTACTTTTTGTCTTATGAGTATTTAGTGAGTTAATGTGTTTGCCTTTTAAAGTAAAAGTTGATATATATTGCTTCACTGCAAAGTATTCAACTTTTATGCTTAATTTTCATGGTTTATGTAAAAGTTGACAGGTTTGTTTGTAGACATTGTAAAGCAAAAGTTGCAGTGTGTTACTTCTGTGCAAAACCCTCAAATTTGATACACTTATGGTCTTCTACTAATTATGAATATCATCAAAGTATACTTATTTGTGACTTTTTTTCATTATGCCTTTCTGTATGATTTCTTTCTGTGTGCACTATAATAATATAAATTCTATTTGGTTGTATTGGGCAATAGTTATTTCACTTTATAATAATCTTTTTGGGTTTCTTGAAGTTTAAAGGTGTAACCGGATTGGTTGCGTATAATCTTTTAACTGAACTATTGCTAATTGGATAGAATGGCCTGTATATAAACGTCAAGTAAACAGCTTCTTATTATTCCAACCTTACCCGTATCTAGGTTGTAATGAGAATATTTATTTCATTGAGTAGTTGATGACTCCATAAGAAAACCATCCGATTACTCTATAGAATTTTTGTCTAAACCCCTTCTATGCATCTTTTATGTAAATATGCCACGTTAGCCTTACAACTCAAAAAAAAAAAAAAAGTAAAAATTCCATGTAGGCTAGACGGTAAGAATTACCTGCTTTAGCCACTGCGGGACGATTTTTCATTTTTTTTCACTTACGGGACGTGATCCAAAAGTGGGTAAATGAGTGCCATTTATAGAACTAAATTTTCAATTTTTCCGTTACAGTGCCAAAATAATTAAAGTAATTAAAAATGCCATCTATTGTGCTAAAAAATTTATTTGTGGATCTGAAATCATAATTAATAAGGTAACCGATATCGGTAATTTATTTTTATTCTTTTTTATTTTTTTCTTTGCTCTTTCATCTCTCATTAATCTGTAGCACTTTAATTTCATTTTGTAATTAGGATAAAAATGAAGAATCCTAACAAGGTGCAATGAGTTACTCTGCTCGGATGATCGTCGTCCTTCTTCTGATATTGCTGCCGTGGTCGTCGTCCTTGAGATATTTTCTGCCGCACCCAAGCTACGGGATGAAGAAGAAGGTCCTCCTATCTTTACTACGCCGCTATGGGTGGCCGACGATGATGAAGAAGATGTTCCTAGCATTAGTACGCCAGAGTCTTACCTGAGGTGCATGAGGATGTTGGAATCCCAGTCCTACGACTTTTTCATGGACGAGTTTTGCCATATGCAATTTTGGCATTTGCCATATGTGAAGTTACTGCCGCGTAACTATGTAAAAGCTCTCTCCATATGGTACCACAACAACCAGACACGTGTCGATCTCAAAATCTGCGAACTCAACCTCAGTCGTTGTCCAGAGCAGACATTGAAACTCTATGACGCCTACGAACATGATGTGAGTCGTTACATTGTATTGTAGTCACAACAAAAACAATTAAGTTTAATTAACCCTTCTTTTTCTGCGTTTAATTAATTATATATTTTTTGGTGTACTGATGATGATCAATAGGACCGGCTGTGGGCGAGACCAACAAAGTGCAGGATAATTAATTATCAGATGAAGACACCAAACATCATCATGTTTTCAACTCAATTCTGTTTGTGAAAATAACTTCTTATAGTATTGTAACAACATTAACATTCAATATTGCTTGTTTTTTGTATTTCTGGTTTCTAGTATTCTAATAAATTTCTTTTTCTTATTCATTTTTTGTATGGAACTAATTGGGTTTGATTATATTTCTTTGGAGTAGTGATATGATTCTTGACATATAACTAAAGAAACTTGAAACTATAAGTTCAATGATCCCGGATTGATGTCTCACGTACTACCATTACTTATATATCTAGTCTTTATATTACTCGGAGTTGTGTGAATCCACAAGTCCGGCCTGCATATATAGTTTACTCACAATAGACAAAGTTTAATTTGGTAAAAGAATAATGCATTTGCACACGCCCAACCAAATCAAAATACAGTTACGGGTCTTTGATCAAGGTGAAAATGAGTTCGCTTAGCTAGTTAATGTGTGGGTTAACTGAGTGTGGGTTAATTAGGAGTAGGTAGTGTTGAATAAGAGTGTGGGAGTGTGGGTTAGGAGTAGGTAGTGGGGTAAGAATTGTGATTTATCCAATATATATAGAATCATACAACCAGAAATTTAATAAAGAGTATTGAAGTTGCACAAATCTTCTTCTTCTTCTTCTTCATTTCTTCTTCTATTGTTCATACTCCAACTGCCCGTCGTCATGTGCTTCAATTATCTCATTATTTATCGCACAGGCCAAACATAACCCCGGAAGAAGCCTTCCGTCTCGACGGGGACCTTTCCGCGTCCCGGGCCTCCTACCTCGCGGCCAACAGCAAAATGGGCACCATCAAAACACAATCAAACATCGAGGCCCCGCTCTATTCTGCAGGAACCCTTTATGAAGTTAAAGTGCGTGTCGGCACTGGTCGTTACCGTCCGTTTATCTCAATCGTAGCCGACACGGGCTCTAACTTGTTGTGGGTCCACTGCAAACCGTTCAACGTCGAGAATTTCTTCAACCCGAGGGCCTCCCCCACCTTCCGCAAGGAGATCATGTGCAATAACCCCACCAGCGCCTGTCGTGATCTCCCCCGGGTCAGGTGCCGAGACAAGAGTGTTGGTACAAAATCCTATACGGCAGCGGAACCAGCAGTGGTTACCTCACCCGGGAGACATTCGAGTTCCAATCCCTCGCCAAGGAGTTCGACGACGAGGAGGATGAAAAGCCCTTCTTCCTCGAGAACATCACCTTCGGCTGTGACATTAACGGGAGTCTGGCAGATATCGACGGCATCCTCGGCCTCACCAGCGACAGTGTCTCCCTCGTCTCGCAAATGGGGTACTCACGCTTCGCCTACTGCCTCGGGAACATCAACGACTTCGGGTACCGTTACAACATATTGATCATAGGCGACGGTGATGAGATCGGCCTCCACGGTTCTCAAACACCCCTCTACATCCACTTTCATTACTACGTCCGCCTCGAGGGTATCGCGGTTGGAGGTCGACCCGTCGATGGATTCGGCTCCCACATGTTGATGGTCGACTGTGGCACTACCTACACCTTGATCCCCTCGCAGGCCCTCAAGAACCTACAGACTAGAATTGAGGAAGTGATTGGCGACAGGCTGACAAAGAACGACACGTTTGAATACGGGTCGTCCACAATGTTGTGCTATGTAGGGAGTGTGACCAGGGACTTGGTGTGGTCCCTGTGGTCGAATTGAGGTTACGCGGAGGGGCTGTGCTTGAGCTCACGGCTCTAAACATGTTCAGGAACGTTGGGAATGGTTGTTTCTGCCTGACTGCGGTTAGAGCGACACGGATGTCCCCATTCTCGGGGCCTACATGCAGCAATTTTTTTACATTGCCTTTGATTTGAAGGAAAATAAGGTCTCATTATGTGACGTCTTAAGGCATGATTGATTAAAAAAAATATTTATTTTTTATATTTCAAATTAATCTTTTCTTTGTTTATCAACAATGTTTCTTTCTTAAGTATGTTGTGCTAATTTTTGCGTTTATTTATGGTGAATAAGAAACATAGTAAGTTTCAATATAAATGATTTGTCTAAACTTGTACGAGTTTCTTACCTATTTTTTCCTCGTGTGTGTGTATGTGTGTGTGTGTGTATGTGTGTGTGTGTGTGTTTTTTTTTTTTATCCTCTAGTGTGCTTGTTGTATATCATAATTGAATATAAAATTATGATGTGTAGGCATTTTATTTTGGTAATGACTATGTCATATGAAAAATCTATTTATTTGTAATGTGGAATTTTTAGAAATCCACATGGAACACCAACTTTCGGCCAAGAAATAAATATTTTATGTAGGCTAGCTGGTAAGAATTATCTGCTTTAGCCATTGCCGGGACGATTTTTCATGTTTTTTTCACTTACGGGACGTGATCCAAAAGTGGGTATCAGAGAGGACTTAAACTCAAATGAGTGCCATTTATAGAACTAAATTTTCAATTTTTCCGTTACAGTGCCAAAATAATTAAAGTAATTAAAAATGCCATCTATTGTGCTAAAAAATTTATTTGTGGATCTGAAATCATAATTAATAAGGTAACCGGTAATTTATTTTTATTCTTTTTTATTTTTTTCTTTGCTCTTTCATCTCTCATTAATCTGTAGCACTTTAATTTCCTTTTGTAATTAGGATAAAAATGAAGAATCCTAGAACATGCTTGGATATAAATTTTTTTGATTTTGATTGGATTTTTTGGTTTGAGTTGGTTAAATTTGAAAAAGTTGATATGGTTAGTTGTTAGTGGGTAAATTAAAATAATATTTAAAATAAAATGATTAAACTTAATTTGATGTAAAAGTAAGAGAGAAAAGATGTGATGTGATGGTTAGTTAAAATTATGTGAGTTGATGAATAGTGAATTAAGGTTGATGTTGTGCGTAAGAATGAATAGTTAAAATTAATCTGTAGCACTTGTATCTCAAAAATCCTAAGTAATTCAACAATCCTTTTCCTAATTAACAACTGCTAGTGTGAAATCTTAATTATAAATCCCTTTTGCCTATAAAATAAATACACGCCACGCAACAAACCTAACCCAAAAAAATAAAATTAATTAACTAGCTAGCAATGAGTTACTCTGCTCGGATGATCGTCGTCCTTCTTCTGATATTGCCTGCCGTCGTGGTCGTCCTTGAGATATTTTCTGCCGCACCCAAGCTACGGGATGAAGAAGACGGCCCTCCTATCTTTACTACGCCGCTATGGGTGGCCGACGATGATGAAGAAGATGTTCCTAGCATTAGTACGCCAGAGTCTTACCTGAGGTGCATGAGGATGTTGGAATCCGATTCCTGCGACTTTTTCATGGACGAGTTTTGCCATATGCAATTTCGGCATTTGCCATATGTGAAGTTACTGCCGCGTAACTATGTAAAAGCTCTCTCCATATGGTACCACAACAACCAGACACGTGTCGATCTCAAAATCTGCCAACTCAATCTCAGTCGTTGCCCAGAGCAGACACGGAAACTCTATGACGCCTACGAACATGATGTGAGTGGTTACATTGTATTAATTATTAATTGCAGTAACAACAAAAACAATTAACCTTTTTTTTCTGCGTTTAATTAATTATATGTTTTTTGGTGTACTGATGATGATCAATAGGACCGGCTGTGGGCGAGACCAACAAAGTGCAGGATAATTAATTATCAGATGAAGATACCAAACGTCATCATGTTTTCAGACACGTCAACTCATCAATTCTGTTTGTGAAAATATAACTTGTTATAATATTGTAACAACATTATTAACATTCAATATTGCTTGTTTTTTGGATTTTTGGTTTCTAGTACTCTAATAAATTTCTGTTTCTTGTTCTTTTTTTGTATGGAACTAATTGGGTTTGATTATATTTCTTTGGAGTAGTGATATGATTCTTGATATATAACTAAAGAAAAGTGAAACTAAAAGTTCAATGTAATGATCCCGGATTGATGTCTCACCTACTACCATTACTTATGTATCTAGTCTTAATATTACTCAGAGTTGGCCCTTTAGTTACAATCTGCATATATATATAGTTTACTCACAATATTGTTATCTATCTGTTGAGCATAGACAAAGTTTAATTTGGTAAAAGAATAATGCATTTGCACACACCCAACCAAATCAAAATACAGTTACGGGTCTTTGATCAAGGTGAAAATGAGTTCGCGTAGCTAGTTATATAAGAATCATGTAAACTCTCAATAGAACACCCGGAGAGTGTATGTTACTACTATTTGATAACTCCAAGCTCTCACTTTTGTACCGGTAAGTTGAATCATTAATGTGTGGGTTAACTGAGTGTGGGTTAATTAGGAGTAGGTAGTGTTGAATAAGAGTGTGGGAGTGTGGGTTAGGAGTAGGTAGTGGGGTAAGAATTGTGATTTATCCAATATATATAGAATCATACAACCGGAAATTTAATAGAAAGTATTGAAGTTGCACAAACCATAGCATTATTCTTCTTCTGACGAGTGGTGCCATATGGATTTTCGGTACCGCGCGCAACAACCAGAAGCGGGTCGATATTGAAATCTGCAGCCTTAATCTCAATCGTTGTCTAGAGCAGACACGGAAACTCTATCACACCTACTTACATGATGTGAGTTACATTGTAGTAACAACAAAAACAATAAGTTTAATTAACTTTTTCTTGTGTGTGTTAGCTATTATTATTATTATTCTTTTTATTTTTTTTTCTGCATGGAAATTGGGTTTAATTAATTATGTGATTTTGGTGTACTGATGATGATCAATAGGACCGGCTTTTTTTTTCAATGATGTTTGTTTGTTGGATTTCTTGTTTCTACTTTCTAGTACTCTAATATATTTATTTTTCTTATCCATTTTCTGTATGGAAATAATTGGGTTTGATTATATGTTTTTGGAGTAGTGTTATGATTCTTTTTTCTTTTTCCCTTTTTCGTTTGGTTTCCATTTGGTTTTATGCGAGTTTTGTGTTTGTTTGCAATGTTATTGATTTCGTGTGTGGAAGAATACTGGAAATCTTGAATTGATATTCCTTTGTATTCAAATCTCTTATTGTATGATTGGTAGGAAGGAATGACATGGGAATTAAATGATCATTCTCTTACTCATTCTTTATCCCATTATTGGTATATTTTTTGGGAAGGAATGAACATTCCATTGGGAATGGCAAAATCCATCTCCATGGGATTAGTCATTCCATAGTAAATGGAAGGTTTTTTCATTCCCATGTGTGTAGCAATCAATTTTTCAAAAAATAAAATTAACAAATAATAATAAAAAATAAATATATAATATATATTATAAATCATGATTAAAATATATTGAATAAAATTATTTTAAAAAAAATTCAAATAAAAAAATTGAAAACTTACTTTTATTTATTTTGTAATTAGATATATTAAATACTTATACAAAAATAAAACTAAAAAAAAGCATTTATATATAATTTAAAAATATATTATTTTATTTTTATATATTATTAAAAATATATTATTTTTTATATATTAAAAATATATTACTAT